GAGAGAGAGAGAGAGTTTGCATGAACTCTATTGGGCAGTGTCTACACACCCAATATAATGAGGCCTTAGATTAATTGCTGTGGTATTACATTAGCCCAGCAGTTTTACGAAAATACCGTTATGTAGATACATACTACCCAAAAAAAGGAAATATACAAAATATACATAAGAATACAACAATATCACAAGTCTAACACTCCGCCTCAAGTTGTACATTATGTTTAAACATGTACAACTTGCTTCTTAAATAATCATGCCTTTCGTTCGATAAGCCTTTTGTAAATATGTCTAGTGATTTGATCCTCTCTACCAATGAATTTTGCTTCAGCTTTTTTTCTCAAGATAAAATGGTAATCAATCTCAATGTGTTTCGTTTTATCATAAAATATTGGGTTTGTAGCAATGCTCATCATCATCATCATCATCAGAGCCTTTTCTAATTATTTGGGATCGGATATATGAATCCTAGTCTGCCATTCTGCTCTATCAAGGACCATACCCTCAGTGAGGCCATAAGTCCCCCATATCTTTTCTCACTACTTCCAACTATGTCTTTTTGGGCTATCTTTTGCCCTTTATGAGCCTTCCACTTGAACCATCTCGCACCTTCTAACAGGTGCACTACTGGGTTTGCGCTGCACATGGCCAGCCCATTTAAATCTACTTACTCTCGTTTTATTGCCTATTGGAGCCACACATAAGTTCTCCCTAATGTATTCATTTCCAATTCTATCCCTTCTTGCCTTGCCATTCATCCATCATAGCAGTCTCATCTCAGCTACACTCATCCTATGGGTATGTTGTTTCTTGACTGCCCAACATTTTGCCCCATAAAGCAAAGCTGGTCTCACAGCTCTCTTATAGAACTTCTCCCTTCAGCTTCATTGGTATGTGGATATCACATAAAACTCTGCTTGTACATCTCCACTTCGCCCACCTTGCTCTAATTCTATGTGCGGCACGTTCTTCAATTTCTCAATTTTCTTAAATTATCGACCTAAGATATCGAAAGTGCGCTCTTTTTGGTATTTCTTGGCCATCAATCTTAACTATTTCCTCATCTCTGCTCCTATTATTACTAAACTTGCATTCCATATACTTTATCTTAGTCCGACTAATTTTAAAACCTTTAGATTCTAGAGCATCCCTCAAAAGTTCTTTGTGTTGATGCCGCTTCAGTTCTCATCAATCAAAACTTTGTCGTCCATACACCATGGTACCTCATCTTGTAGGTTCCTATTTAAGTTCTCCATAACCAAGATAAAGAGGTACGGGCTCAACATTGACCCTTGATGTAAACTTATTGTCATTGAAAACTTACTGGTCTCTCCACTAGCTGTCCACACATTAGTTAGCACTCCCCCGTACATATCTCTCACCAAGTCGATATAATATCTGGAGATTCCTTTCTTTTCCAACACCTACCAAATTAACTCTCGAGGTACTCTATCAGAAGCTTTCTCTAGATCAATAAATATCATGTGAAGTCTTTTCCCCTTGCTCTAAACTTCTTAATAAGTTGTCTAAGTATGAAAATGGCCTCAATTGTTGACCTCCCTGATACAAAACCAAATTGATTTTTTGATACACTCGTTTCATGTCTTAGTCGTTGCTCAATCACTCTCTCCCACAGCTTTATGTTGTGGCTCATAAATTTGATTCCTCGATAGTTCACACAATTTTGTTGTCTCACATGTTCTTGTAAATAGGTACCACAATGCTTTTCCTCCATTCATCGGGTATTTTCTTTGTTTTGGATACCTTGTTGAACAGCTTGGCCAGCCAGTCAATGCGGATCTCCTCCATGCATTTTTAAATATTTATCGGGATACCATCTGGTCCTATAGACTTCCCTATCTTCATCATCTTAAAAGCTTCTTTCACTTCCAATATCCTAATCCAACGAATGTATATATGACCTCCGCCTCATTTATGCCAATGGTTCCTTCTAGCACTATGTTCCCACTATTGGCAGCAATCACTAAAGCATTTTTATTATCGCAGTAAAGGTATGATGTACCAACTTATATCCCACCAAGTTAGAAGACGATGAACCAATGTAATTTTTGTCTTCATTATAGCAAGGGCCCTGTTTTTTGCTTCAATGCTTGATTTGCCAACTACTTTTTGTTTTCTACTCCAAGATATTATTTTTCCCAGGAAAACACTTGTAACCTGAAAGAGTATAATTAGGGTCTCCTTCCAATCTGCATCTGAATATCAAATTACGGGCCCCCATTCTAGACTTGCTAATTTATTTCTCTTATACAACAAAACACTGCTAATGGAACCTTTAATATCCTTTTCAATGCCTCCATATGTACTGCAGTTGGCACATGCATGTATTGACAAACCTGATTAACACATATTAATCCAAACATGTACGAGTCAAATATTGTAACACCCCTACCATACTTCTGTATTTTTTAGCTCTACTAGTGAGTCTCCTTGATCAACACACAATGTTTTATTCATTGTTTCAACAAGCGCTAGGCGGTCGGGGGGGGTCCAAGCCGCCCAAGCAGGTGCCCAGAACCTGGGCGGCCCAGTAGAAATTCTTTTTGTTTTGGGGTCTTCTCTTTCTAAAATAGCCTCTAATGAGTTTTAGGTTTCAAATGAACCTAAAACCCACAATTTTGTACTTTAGTATTAAAAAAATGACCCAAAAATACCCTCAAGGAACCTCATTTCCACCCCTGGGAGTGGGGGGTAGGCCCTGGGCAGTCGCCCGGGCGGGCGCCTAGGCGGGTTCCCGAGCGCCTAGGCAGGCACCAAGGGATATCCGCCTAGTTTGACAGCCTAGGCCTGGGCGATGCGCCCAGGCCTTCTGGACCGCCTGACGGCCGCCCAGGGGCTGGGCGGTCCACTTTTTAAAACAACGGTTCTATTTGAGGCTAATGTGGTATAAAAAGGCTCGCAATTCAGCATATGGGCCTTCTCAAGCAAACCTAAAGCATATTTTTGCTATGGAAGGCAAATCTCACTACATGAATGATTCTCTTCAATTCCTAGGGAATATCTTGATT